TTACTGTGATTTGTTTAAACTGAACTGGCTATTTGAGAACTGAAGTATACCACCATGAAAATGGCCAAGATGGGGCTCTTCTGATATTCCAAAACAGGTTTTTGCATTTGCAGTTAGAAGAAGCTGGTCTTCTAAGAGGAACCCGTTTCTTTATTCCCTGTGACTTCGAGAGGTAAGTGTTCTACCAGGACTCTCAAATGATCTTTTCTGACCCTCTCCAATTCCTGAGACTAAAAAAAAAAATGAGGTGGTGGGAGTCCTTTTATATTCAAGCAAGAAGGACTTCCCTCGTGGTCCAGAGGCTAAGACTCTGTGGTTCCCAAAGCAGAGGATCCAGGGTTTGATCCCCGGTCAGAGAACGAAATTCTACATGCTGCAATTAAGAGTACACATGCCACTAGACCATTTAGGTATGACCTAAATCAAATACCTGATGACTATACAGTGGAAGTGAGAAATAGATTTAAGGGACTAGATCTGATAGACAGAGTGCCTGATGAACTATGGATGGAGGTTCATGATATTGTACAGGAGATAGGAATCAAGACCATCCCCAAGAAAAAGAAATGCAAAAAAGCATAATGGCTGTCTGCGGAGGCCTTACAAATAGCTGTGAAAAGAAGGGAAGTGAAAAGCAAAGGAGAAAAGGAAAGATATACTCATTTGAATGCAGAGTTCCAAAGAATAGCAGGAGAGATAAGAAAGCCTTCCTCAGTGACCAATGCAAAGAAATAAGAGGAAAATAATAGAATGGGAAAGACTACAGATCTCTTCAAGAAAATTAGAGATAACAAAGGAGCATTTCATGCAAAGATGGGCTCAATAAAGGACAGAAATGGTACGGACCTAAAAGAAACAAAAGATATTAAGAAGAGGTGGCAAGAATACATAGAAAAACTATACAAAAAAGATCTTTACGACCCAGATAATCACAATGGTGTGATCACTCACCTCGAGCCAGACGTCCTGGAATGTGAAGTCAAGTGGGCCTTAGGAAGCATCTCTACAAACAGAGCTAGTGGAGGTGATGGAATTCCAGTTGAGCTATTTCAAATCCTAAAAGATGACACTGTCAAAGTGCTGCACAAAATATGCCAGCAAATTTGGAAAACTCAGCAGTAGCCACAGGACTGGAAAAGGTCAGTTTTCATTCCAATCCCAAAGAAAGGCAATGCCAAAGAATGCTCAAACTACCACACAATTGCACTCATCTCACATGCTAGTAAAGTAATGCTTAAAATTCTCCAAGCCAGGCTTCAGCAATATGTGAACTGTGAACTTCCAGAGGCTCAAGCTGGTTTTAGAAAAGGCAGAGGAACCAGAGATCAAACTGCCAACATCCACTGGATCATCAAAAAAAGCAAGAGAGATCCATAAAAGCATCTATTTCTGCTTTACTGACTATCCCAAAGCCTTTGACTATGTGGATCACTACAAACTGTGGAAAATTTCTCAAGAGGTGGGAACACCAGACCACCTGACCTGCCTCTTGAGAAACCTGTTGTGCAGGACAGGAAGCAACAGTTAGAACTGGACATGGAACAGACTGGTTCCAAATAGGAAAAGGAGTACGTCAAGCCTGTATATTGTCACCCTGCTTATTTAACTAATATGCAGAGTACATCATGAGAAATGCTGGGCTGGAGGAAGCACAAGCTGGAATCAAGACTGCTGGGAGAAATATCAATAACCTCAGATATGCAGATGACACCACCCTTATGGCAGAAAGTGAAGAGGAACTAAAGAGCCTCTTGATGAAAGTGAAAGAGGAGAGTGAAAAAGTTGGCTTAAAGCTCAACATTCAGAAAACTAAGATCATGGCATCTGGTCCCATCACTTCATGGCAAGTAGATGGGGAAACAGTGGAAACAGTGGCTGGCTTTATTTTTTTGTGCTCCAAAAATCACTGCAGATGGTGACTGCAGCCATGAAATTAAAAGACGCTTACTCCTTGGAAGAAAAGTTATGACCAACGTAGGCAGCATATTAAAAAGCAGAGACATTACTTTGCCAACAAAGGTCTGTCTAGTCAAGGCTATGGTTTTCCCAGTGGTCACGTACGGATGTGAGAGTTGGAATATAAAGAAACCTGAACACCGAAGAATTGATGCTTTTGAACTGTGGTATTGGAGAAGACTCTTGAGAGTCCCTTGGACTGCAAGGAGATCCAACCAGTCCATCCTAAAGGAGATCAGTCCTGGGTGTTCATTGGAAGGACTGATGTTGAAGCTGAAACTGAAATATTTTGGCCACCTGATGCGAAGAGCTGACTCATTTGAAAAAATTTTCAAATTTGAAAATCTTTGAAAAAGATTTGAAAAATCTTTCCCTGATGCTGGGAAAGATTGAGGGCAGGAGGAGAAGGGGATGACAGAGGATGAGATGGTTGGATGGTATCACCGACTCGATGGACATAGGTTTGGGTGAACTCCGGGAGTTGGTGATGGACAGGGAGGCCTGGCATGCTGTGATTCATCAGGTCGCAAAGAATTGGACACGACTGAGTGACTGAACTGAACTGAATGCTGCAACGAAAATAGTCCTTACATAAATTCTTGGAAATTCAAAGGAAACGGATCAGAATGAATTGGAAATATAAAGGAAAAGGATCAGAATGAATTTCAGATTCACATGATCTGGGAAATATTCAATACTAAATTACTATCTGGTATTACAGTTACTGTAGGCTTGTTGGATTAATTGGTGGGGACATGTCTTTGATGTTATCAGTAATGTGTATGGTGACAGAGACTTATAAGACCAGAATTTAAAATTTCACACATACATTTACATGCCACATACAAGAGAAAAATCAAATAGAAGATCACAGATTTACAGTAAAATAAAAAGAAAATAGCAGGGAAACATTATCTAAAAGAAACCTAAGGAGAGCTATATTACATCAGACAAAATAGACTTTAAAGAGTATTATTAATGATAGAAATAACATCTATCACCAGAAAGATATAGCTTCAAAAGCTGGGAAGCAAAGGAAATCAACCTTGAATATTCATGGGAAGGAGTGATGCTGAAGCTGAAGCTGCATTACTGTGGTCACATGATGAGAAGAGTCGACTCACTGGAAAAGACCCTGATGCTGGGAAAGATTGAAGGCAGGAGGAGAAGGGGACGACAGAATGAGATGGTTGGATGGCATCACTGACTCAATGGACATGAGTTTGAGCAAACTCGGGGAAAGAGTGAAGGACAAGGAAGGCTGGTGCTGCAGTCCATGGGGTCACAAAGAGTCAGACATGACTGAGTGACTGAACAACAGGCAGAAGTGGACATATCATGATGGAGATTTCCATACTCCTCTCTCCATTACTGATAAAGCAGAAAATAAAAAGTAAAGAACAAGGAATGAAAAATGACAACAGATTATTAAAATAAGAACCAAATGGAACTTTCAGAAATGAAAAATAGCTGAAATCAGAAACCCAGTGAATGGGTTTAAAAGTGGATTAGACACAGCTGGAGAGAAATGTGATGAACTCAAAGATATGTCAGAAATTTTCTGGAAGATTGCTCAGAAACAGGTAAAAAATACATGAGAAGAAGATACACAGATAAGATACACAGGGCAATAAAATAGTGTATGCTTATTCTAGATTGAGAAAAGAAACTGAGACAGACCCATACTTAAAAAAAGTACTAGGAGCTCAGCATTTTCCACTACGGATTCATTTAGTCCAGTCAATCTTATTTAGGATTAAAAAAAAATGAATGAAATGTGTATCAGGATGGCTCATGATGAAGCTCCAGAACATCACGGTGAGCCCTTAATCCATGACAAAGGTCTTGCTGCAGAGAACTGTTCAATTTGGGGGATTTTTAAAAACTAGAAAATAGAACTTAGGTCTGAACAGCCCACAGGGTCGCAGAGTCAGACACAACTGAGTGGCTGAGTACCGCACAGCACAAGAGTTCAAATGTTCTACAGAAGTGAGTAACTTTAGACTCCATGAGGGTATGCAAAGTGAACACTGCAGGGAGATCGTACCAAATGATTTTCAGTGCTCCAGGATCTAATTAGGGTCACAGATTGCATGCAGTTGGTAAGAACTGAGTTGATTTTAGGACGGTTTTCCCAACTTTTAAATTTCATGACATTGACTTTCTGAAGAGACAAAACTGACTATTTAAATTGCAGAATGTTTTACATTCAGGATTTGCCCGACTCTTTAATTGGGGATTATTTAACACATTTTTCTCCCTATAACTTGCAGAGAATGTGTTTAATTTAGTTTTTATATGGCATGTATAATATATATTATAGCACTGTAAATACACTTAGGCATTTAATTATATTTGCTATTGACAGACTTTGGGAAAAAATGAGTGTATAACCTGCGTTTACATTTTACATTTGTAAAATGGGAGACAGTACCAGATGTTGATTCATGGTGGATCTAGAAAAGGCAGAGGAACCACAAATAAAATTGCCAATAACCACTGGATCATAGAAAAAGTAAGAGAATTCCAGAAAAACAACTACTTCTCCTTTACTGACTACGTCAAAGCCTTTGACTATGTGAATCACAATAAACTGTGGAAAATTCTTCAAAAGATGGGAATACCAGGCCACCTTACCTGCCTCCTGAGAAATCTGTACGTCAAGGCTGTCTATCGTCACTCTGCTTATTTAACTTACATTCAGAGTACATCATGAAAAATGCTGGGCTGGATGAAGCATAGCTGGAATCAAGACTGCTGGGAGAAATATCAGTAACCTCAGATATGCAGATGACACCACCCTTATGGCAGAAAGTGAAGAGGAACTGAAGAGATTCTTGATGAAAGTGAAAGAGGAGTGAAAAAAGCTGGATTAAAACTCAACATCCGGGCGCCGTAGCGGCGGCTCCAGCAGCTGCGGTGGCCCCCGTCAAGCTCCGCGGTCCGACCCTGTCCTGCCCGGCCACCGAGGCAGCGCCGCAACGGAACCCGGAGCCTGCCCCGCTGAGCCTGCACGTGCTGCCCGGCGCCTACCCGTCAGTTTGATGGGTCGGCAGCCGCCACTGCCCCCCGCCGCGGCCGCCCTGTTCTGGGGCTTCCTGCTCCCTCTGACAGCTGCTCATGAAGCAATCCTCCATGCCTCTGGAAATGGCATGCCTTCACCATCTAAGGACTACTGCATGCTATATAACCCTCACTGGACATCTCTTCCAAGTACCCTAGAAAATGCAACTTCTACTAGTTTGATGAATCTGACTACCACACCACTCTGCAACATTTCTGATATTCCTCCAGATGGAATAAAGAACAAAGCAGTTGTGGTACAGTGGGGAACCTGCCATTTTCTGGAAAAAGCCAAAATTGCACAAACAGGAGGTGCTGAAGCTTTGTTGGTTGCCAATAACAGTGTCCCATTTCCTCCCTCAAGGAACAAATCTGAGTATCCTGATGTGAAAATATTGACTGCATTTATAAACCACAAGGACTTTAAAGGTACGAAGCAGACTCTGGGAGATAACACTGTTGTGAACATGCGTTCTCCATCCGGCCTAACGCTGACTATACTATGGTGGTTACTTCTGTAACTGCTGTACTCACCGTGGGATTAGGAGAATACTGGAGCGGGCTAATCGAATTGGAAAACATGAAGGCAATGACAAACACTGAGGATAGAGAAGTGATGAAAACGAAGGAAGAATATTTTACTTTTAGTCCTCTAACAGTTATAATATTTGTGGTCATCTGCTGTATTATGATGGTCTTACTTTATTTCTTCTACAAATGGTTGGTTTATGTTATGACAGCAATTTTCTGCATAGCATCAGTGATGAGTCTGTACAACTGTCTTGCTGCACTAGTTCGTAAGATACAATGGGGACGATGCACGATTACCTGTTGTGGCAAGAGCTTTGAAGTGAGACTTAATTTTCTCTCTGGACTGTGCATAGCAGTAGTTGTTGTTTGGGTTGTATTTCGAAATGAAGATAGGTGGGCTTGGATTTTACAGGATATCTTGGGGATTGTTTTCTGTCTGAATTTAATTAAAACACTGAAGTTACCCAACTTCAAGTCAAGTGTGATACTTCTGGGCCTTCTCCTCTATGATGTATTTTTTGCTTTCATAACACCATTCATCACAAAGAATGGTGAGAGTATCATGGTTGAACTTGCAGCTGGACCTTTTGGAAATAATGAAAAGTTACCAGTAGTCATCAGGGTACCAAAACTGGCCTATTTCTCAGTAATCAGTGTGTGTCTCATGCCAGTTTCAATATTGGGTTTTGGAGACATCATTGTACCAGGCCTGTTGATTGCATACTGTAGAAGATTTGATGTTGACATTGGTTCTTCAATATACTATGTTTCCTCCACAATTGCCTATGCCATTGGCATGATTCTTACATTTGTTCTGGTGCTGATGAAAAAGGGGAAACCTGCTCTCCTATATTTAGTACCTTGCACACTTATTACTGCCTCACTTGTTGCCTGGAGACGAAAGGAAATGAAGAAGTTCTGGAAAGGTAACAGCTATCAGATGATGGACCATCTGGACTCTGCAACAAATGAAGAAAACCCTGGGACTGTTGGTGAACAGACTGTCCAACAATAATATGTGGGCGTGCAAGTGTCGATTGATTTTCTACAAATAGAGTTTGACTTTTTAAATTGACTTTTGAATTGACAATCTGAAAGAAACTTCAAAGATATGCTTGCAAATATGTATCTGTAAGAGCTGGTACTGACAATTACATGATAAATAATTAAAATACAATTGTTTTAAAAACAACAACAAAAAAACCCTCAACATTGAAGCAACTAAGATTATGGCATCTGGTCCCATCACCTCATGGCAAATAAATGGGGAAACAATGGCAGCAGTGACAGACTTCATTGTCCTGGGCTTCAAAAATCACTGTAGACGGTGACTGCAGCCATGAAATTAAAAGACACTTGCTCCTTGGAAGAAAAGCTATTACCAACCTAGACAGCATATTATAAAGCAGAAACATTACTTTGCCGACAAAGGTCCATCTAGTCAAAGCTATGGTTTTTCCAGTAGTTAGGAATGGATGTGAGAGTTGGACTATAAAGAAAGCTGAGAACTGAAGAATTGATGCTTTTGAACTGTAGTGTTACAGAAGACTCCTGAAAATCCCTTGGACTTCAAGGAGATCCAACCAGTCAATCCTAAAGGAAATCAATCCTGAATATTCATTGGAAGGACTGATGCTGAACCTCCAATACTTTGTAATGTATCTCCACCTGAGGTGAAGAACTGACTCACTGGAAAAAACCCGGATGCTGGGAAAGATTGATGGCAGGAGGAGAAACAGTCAACAGAGGATGAGATAGTTGGACAGCATCACTGACTCAGTGGACATGAGTTTGAGTAAGCTCCAGGAGTTGGCGATGGAGTCAGAAACCTGGTGTGCTGCAGTCCCCGGAGTCGCAAAGAGTTGGACACGACTGAGCAACTGAACTGAACTGAAGTTCTCCACTAAACTAAGACTATCTGGCATATGTCGGTGAAGCAGAGAGTCCCTAGGATGTTGAAGAACGGCTGGCGAGAACTGAAGTCCAGTGACCGCACAGAGCTGGGCCTGGGGTGGCAGCTGCAGGCTATGGCTGTATTTCCAGTGCTGCTTCTGCTGTGAGATAGGACAAAACTAACAGGACACAGATGCGTTGGATGGCAGTTTAAGATAAAAGGGAATGATAAGTCTAAGGCTTGAATGCAAAGACTTAATCTAAAATGATAGGGAAGTCATAATATAAATGTCTGAATTTGTATAATTTACTCTTTGAATACTAAAGACTCTGATGCTGGGAAAGGCTGAAGGCAGGAGGGCAAGGGGATGACAGAGGATGAGATGGTTGGATGGCATCACCGACTCGATGCACCTGAGTCTGAGCAAGTTCCAGGGGACAGTGAAGGACAGGAAAGCCTGGTGTGCTCCAGTCCATGGGGGGGCACAGACTTGGACAAAATGGAGCGACTGAACAACAACTTGACTATTAATTACTGGTCAAAACTCAGGGCTTTGTGAGGCTCAAAGTAAGGTTAAAGAAAACAGCACATGCAATAGGCTGTGTCCTTTGCTCGTCAGGCTCACTTCCAAAGGACAACTGTTTCAACTGAATAACCTGAAAGGCTTTTCTGTACACTGATCCTTCTGCTGTCTGAAGGAACTAATGTGTATAAAGAGCACCAAGTCGGCATTGTTTAGAAAGGCCTGGACGGAACAAAGAGGTTTTTTTCAGGTCAGAGGGAACAGATGAAGAAACAAGCTTATCTGGAAAACACCGCAGTTCCTCCCCACGACCACTCAGCTGATCACCTGCCTTAGGAAGATCCAGCCAAGCGCTGTGAAAACACCAGCCCGAGAGCCGCCAAGAACCCTTTGGTGCTTTGTGTTGGTGTTGGCTAAATTTATTTCTTCACCTCAAATATTTTTTGCCAGGAACAAGCAATCAGGACCCACTAGAAGGCATAATCTGGGGGAGAAAAACAGACAGAGCCCTGTGAAAACATTTTCCAGGGTCAGAGTACGCCGACAGGCTCAATCAGTGACCCCCTAAGGGGTCTCACTGTGGCCTGCTGGGCTGTTTTGTGCCTGTTCTCTCATTTCATAACAGGACAAGCCCTGTGAATCTCACTCTGCCAGAAAACACACATGCTTCATTTCACAAGTTCAACATTTCAAGTTATACTGGATTTCTCGTGCCTGTCCGTATTCAAAATGTGGTCACTGGCCCAGAAGGGGCACCACCAGGGAGCCTGTGAGGAATGCAGACTCCCGGGCCCCGCTCCAGGCCTCCTGAGTCACAAAGGTCTGCCTTTCAGCAAGACCCCCAGGGGCTCTGTAGGGATGTCAAGGTTTCAGGAGCACTGCTGGGCTCTACAACATGGTTTCATGGCAGGATCCTCTATGCAGCTTTAAGGCACAGATGCAGGATCCCAGTGAATGTTCCCTTTAGAAGTCACATGGGAGCTGGCTCCGGCTACCTTTTCCAGAAGAAGGAGCCTGACCACTACCACTCCACACTCATTTTATTCATGGCTGCAAATCTCCTCCCCTCAAAATTCCACTCCACTGTCCACTTCCCATGTTCCCAGGGTCCCTTATAAATGGTCCCCTTCTAACTGCTTTTTCCCACCTTTTCAATTTCTTCTCTAAAGTACACTTGAGTCAACAAAAAAAGATCTGCAAGACAATTTTTTTGTATATGCAATAAAAATGTCTCCTCCTGAACCTGAGGAGCTCAAAATATTTTCCCTGCTTACTTAACCAAGGTGCTATGCTGCCTGGAGAGAGCCAGGCTCTCTTACTTCCTCAGTTCAGTTCAGTTCAGTTCAGTCGCACAGTCATGTCTGACTCTTTGTGACCCCACGGACTGCAGCAGGCCAGGCCTCCCTGTCCATCACCAACTCCAGGAGTTTACCCAAACTCATGTCCATTGAGTCGGTGATGCCATCCAACCATCTCATCCTCTGTCATCCCCTTCTCCTCCTGCCTGCAGTCTTTCCCAGCATTAGGGTCTTTTCAAATGGGTCAGTTCTTTGCATCAGGTGGCCAAAGTATTGGAGTTTCAACTTCAACATCAGTCCTTCCAATGAATATTCAGGACTGATCTCCTTTAGGATGGACTAGTTGGATCTCCTTGCAGTCCAAGGGACTCTCAAGAGTCTTCTCCAACACTACAGTTCCAAAGCATCAGTGCTTTCTTTATAGTCCAACTCTCACATCCATATATGACTACTGGAAAAACCATAGCCTTGACTAGACAGACCTTTGCTGGTGAAGTAATGCCTCTGCTTTTTAATATGCTGTCTAGGTTGGTCATAACTTTTCTTCCAAAGAGGAAGCATCTTTTAATTTCATGGCTGCAGTCACCATCTGCAGTGATTTTGGAGCCCCCCAAAATAAAGTCTGTCACTGTTTCCCCATCTACTTGCCATGAAGTGATCAGACCAGACGCCATGATCTTAGTTTTCTGAATGTTGAGCTTTAAGGCAACTTATTCACTCTCTTCTTTCACTTTCATCAAGAGGCTCTTTAGTTCCTCTTCACTTTCTGCCATAAGGGTGGTGTCATCTGCATATCTGAGCTTACTGATATTTCTCCCAGCAATCTTGATTCCAGCTTGTGCTTCCTCCAGCCCAGCATTTCTCATGATGTACTCTGCATATAAGTTAAATAAGCAGGGTGACAATATATACCTGACGTGCTCCTTTCCTTATTTGGAACCAGTCTCTTGTTCCATGTCCAGTTCTAACTGTTGCTTCCTGACCTGCATACACATGTCTCAAGAGGCAGGTCAGGTGGTCTGGTATTCCCACCTCTTGAATAATTTTCTAGTTTGTGGTGATCCACACAGTCAAAGGCTTTGGCATAGTCAATAAAGCAGAAATAGATGTTTTTCTGGAACTCTCTTGCTTTCTCGATGATCCAGCCCATGTTGGCAATTTGATCTCTGGTTCCTCTGCCTCTTCTAAAACCAGCTTGGACATCTGCAAGTTCACGGTTCACATATTGCTGAAGCCTGGCTTGGAGAATTTTAAGCATTACTTTATTAGCGTGTGAGATGAGTGCAATTGTGTAGTAGTTTGAGCATTCTTTGGCATTGCCTTTCTTTGGGATTGGAATGAAAACTGACCCTTTCCCAGTCCTGTGGCCACTGCTGAGTCTTCCAAGTTTGCTGGCGTATTGAGTGCAGCACTCCAACAGCATCATCTTTGAAGGTTTGAAATGGCCCAAGTGGAATTCCATCACCTCCATTAGCTTTGTTTGTAGAGATGCTTCCTAAGGCCCACTTGACTTCGCATTCCAGGATGTCTGGCTCTAGGTGAGTGATCACACCATCAAGATTATCTGGGTCATGAAGATCTTTTTTTATAGTTCTTCTATGTATTCTTGCCACCTCTTCTTAATATCTTTTGTTTCTGTTAGGTCCCTACCATTTCTGTTCTTTATTGAGCCCCTCTTTGCGTGAAGTGTTCCTTTGGTATCTCTACTTTTCTTGAAGAGCTCTCTAAGTTTTCCCATTCTGTTGTTTTCCTCTCTTTCTTTGCACTGAGCACTGAGGAAGGTTTTCTTGTCTCTCCTTGCTATTCTCTAGAACTCTGCATTCAAATGAGTATATCTTTCCTTTTCTCCTTTGCCTTTTGCTTCTTTTCTTTTTACAGCTGTTTGTACTTCCTTAGAGTTTTGCTCAAAAGTCACCTTCTCCTGAGGCCTCAGAGATAAGCTTAGCTAACAGGTCAACCACCACCTCCGCGTTTTATACCCTTCTTGCCTGCTTCATTCTATCTCCTTGGCCCTTATCACCATTTAGCATATAATGTGAGTTTCTGGTTTATCAAGTCTGATTCGTCAGTTTACTTAGAAGTAACTACTGATTGTCCCCCGGTGCTGGGTGGGCCCTGCTCCAGGTACTGGGCAAGGCATGAGTTAACAGGACAACCCAGACCCCAGCTCTGTAGGGCAGGGATTCTGATAAGAATACAGGCTGTGGCTTCTCCATCTCAAGAAAAACAATCCCTTTGCTTGATCCCACTTTTCCTTCTGGCCTCTGCCCTGTTTCTACTTTATTTTCTACGAAAACTCACCAAGAGATGTCTATATCCACTCTGTCTCCAGACTCTCTCCTCCCATTGGTTCTAACAGTCTCCTGCTCCAGGCCAGCTACCGCCCGTCTAACTAAAACTGTCCAGGTCACTGATGACCCCCACGTGGCTGACTTGAACGGCCAGTTCTCAGGCCTCCCTCCCTTGACCACTCAGCGGAGTCTGACCCAGGTGATCACTCCGTCCTCCTGGGGGGGCCTTTGCAGAACTGCTGCCAGGATGGCACTGTCTTCCGGTTTCCCTCCTTGCTCTCCTCTGCTTATTCTTCCTCTCTCCATGATCGGTGATACTGGAGGGCCCTGGACTGCTCACCTACACTCACCTCTGTATCTTTCGTAACTGTGTTCTAAAAGCCACCTTTACATTTGTAACTCACGACACTGTAGCTTCAGCCCCAACCGCACCTTAATGCTTGGACTTGTATGTCTACCACCTACCCAAATCCCCATTTGGAGATCAGGGAAGGGAGGCATCTCAAATTTGTGTAAAGAGAGTGTCTAATCTTCAACTCCCAAGTGAAGTGTAGTAAATACTGGTTAAGGTATTCTAAGGTTTAGTTGGGTAGATAAACAAAATTGTGAGATAGCTTATGATGGAATATTACTCAACAATAGTAGGAATGAACTACTGATATAGACACCAATATGGATAATCTTAAATATGTTTTGCTGAGTAAAAGAAGCCAGGCATAGAGGAGGACACACTATGTGAGATCATATGAAAATTCTAGAAAAGGCAAATCTAACCTATTATGAGAGAAAGCACATCAGTGGCTTCCCAGGGCCCAGGGTGGAGAAGACTAACTGGAGAGGGGCAGGAAGGAACTTGTAGGTGATGAAAATGTCTGTATCTTAACTGTGGTAGTGCATACACAGGTGACTGCATCAACCAAAATCCGTCCAACAGGATCTTAAAATGCATGTATGTTATTGCTGTCAAGTTTACCTCAAAAAGGTGATTAAAAGTAAGGTGGCTTATCTGTTTAGAATACATAATGATCTAAGTGGGCTCTGCAGCAGGTCTAAAGATGTTACTTTACCATGTACCAAAACACATGGCAAGAACATATTGTGGTAGGAATGTAAATTAGTGTGGCCACTGCAGAAAACAATAAAGAGGTTCCTCAAAAAGCTAAAAACAGAACTGCCCAATGATCCAACAATTCCACTCCAGGGTATATATCCAGAAAAAAAATGAAAAGACTAATTAAAAAAGACACATGCATCCAATGTTCACAGCAGCACTATTTACAATAGCTAAGACATGGAAGTGACCAAAGTATCCATCAACAAATGGAGAAAACTGTAACACAAAACCCTCAGAATGGGAGAAAATATTTGCAAATGATGTAACCAACAAGGGATTAATCTCCAAAATTTACAAACATCTCACATGGCTCAATGCCAAAGAAAAAACAAACCACCCAATCAAAAAAGCAGGCAGGTCTATACAGACATTTCTCCAAAGAAGACACACAGATGGCCAAGAAGCACATGAAAAGATGCTCAACATCACTAATTAGTAGAGGAAATGCAAATCAAAACTAAAATGAGGTATCACCTCACACCAGTCAGAATGGCCATCATCAAAAAGTCCACAAACAATAAACGCTGGAGAAGGGGGTGGAGAGAAGGAAACCCTTGGCGGCAATGTAATTGGTACAGCCACTGAGGAGAACAGTATGGAGGTTCCTTGAAGAAAAAAAAAGCCACCGTAAGATCCAGCAATCCCACTACTGGACGTATATCCGGAGAAAACCATGGTTCTGAAAGGATACTGCAGCACTGTTTACAACAGCCAAGACAGCGAAGCAACCTAAATGTCACTGATAGAGGAGTGGAGAAAGAAGCTGTGGTATGTACGTACAATGAAATATCACTCAGCCATCAAAAAGAATGAGAATGCCATCTGCAGCAACAGGGATGGACCTGGAGATTACTATACTAAGTGAAGTAAATCAGACAGAGACAAGTATCACATGATATCACTTATATGTGGTATCTAAAGAAATGATACACATGAACTTACAAAGCAGAAACAGACTCACAGACTTAGAGAAAAGACTTGTGACTGCCGGGGGGAGGTGGGGAGGGAGAGGGATGGACTGGGAGTTTGGGGTTAGCAGACGCAAACTATTCCCTTTAGAACAGATGAGTAAGGCTCTACTGTATAGCACAGGGAACTGTATGCAGTCTCCTGGGATAAACCATTAAATGGAAAAGAACATAAAAAAGTATATGCATGTGTGTGGCTAAGTCACTTTTCTGTATAACAAAAATTAGCGCAACACTGTAAATCAACTATACTTCAACATTAATAAATAAATAAGTAAACATTTCTATAAACTCTTTTCAACTCATCAGAATGGAATAACAAGTAGCAAAGGTTTTATCACATAGGAGAACAAGTTCAATGTAGAGCAGTATTTTCCTTATGAGTTTATATAAGCCATAAACAAATGATCATTAAACACTAATATGACTCAAAATGGATTATGAGGAAAAAATGAACACTTAAATTCTGAACAGAGGAAATCAGTAACAAAAACCCTTTACATTTTATCTTGTCCATAAAGGTCTGAGTCATAATTTAGCAGGAGCCTTGAGTATTTAAGCTAAACTAAAGTTGCACTGTGAGAGCCACAGCTTAGCACACAGAAAGTTCAATCAGGGCTTGAGGCAACCTTCTTACAAATGCAAAATACAACCACTAAAAAGACTTTCTCAGTTAAATGAGATAAGACTAGGAAAATGTTAAAAAAAAACTTCACTACTGCATTTTGCTAAATAAGCACATGAGTTACATTCACACACACTGACACAAGCAGGCACAAAAAGTATTTATATGGTGAAGAATCATCCTGTTAATTTATGCCAAGGAATGTCACGTCTGTTTATCTTAGTGCAGGGCATAGTTAGGTTTTATGGTATCATAAAGACTTTTGATTTATTATTGAGCTGGATATACAGAATATTTCAAAGTTGCTATCAAAAAAGAAAAAAATATTAAGCTGAAATTCTACCTAGTGACATAGGTTTTTCAACATAACTTTCTTCCCTATGCATCAAACTAAGGTAAGAAGAAAACACATGGTTTTTAAAAGATACCAAGCCATTTAAAAAAAGAGTCTGTTTCTGAGTTTAATAGAGCACCCTGGCCCATTGAATAATGGAATAGTTTTTGGAGAGTGAGTGAATTCTGGCCTAGAGAAGTGTGGTGCGTGACTGGAATACTCAGAGGAAGCTCTAAAAGGACCCAGACCCCAAGGCGGGCCCGCACAGTGAGGGCCAGGCGAGGAGTGACTAGGCAGGCGGGGCTGCTCAGGATGGGCTTCCTTCCTCGCTCCCCTCACTCGGTCATCTTTTAGAGACTGCCCTCTGTGTCCTTTCAGGGGGACGTTATCTTACCCTTTATCATTTGCTCCTTCAGTATTTTAATATAAAATCTACAGGAAAAACAACAAATTCAAGGCTAGTATTAAAAGCTTGAATAAAAATAACAAACCTTTTCCTCGAATCAGTAAACTCTTCCTGGTGAACAGAATCTTGTGGAAGTGGGAATGATTACTTTCTAAATAATGTGTTAAAAGTAAGTACTTTCCTTCTGAAGCATTAACGCTTTATGAACGTTATTTGTTTATCCTTATAGTATATTGTTGCATCATGCAAGTACAGATACGTAATTTCTAATGATTTATCCCAAAACATAAACAAGAAAAAGCAGGCCAACGGAAATGTAATCAAACCTCTTGAAAATGAAGTTACTATAGACGCACCTAAGTAAACATAATCAGAAGTCGAATCTCAAGTCTAGTAACTGATTCTATGTTGAATAGCGATCTTTTAAAAAGTGTTCTCATTCAACATATAATTTCATAGAATATTCTGTAAACTGAAGTATAAGATTACATTTATTCTGAGTCCAGATACTTTCTTAACTGTAGAAGTACAAGGATGCCTCTGTCTTCTTCATCAGTAACACAGACTTATGATAAGGTATGCTGCAAAAAATGTCTGACTGAAGAGTTAATCAAATCCTCATGTTCACTTTTAACTTTCATTATAATTGGTAAAAATGATGCCTATAATAGATGCATTCACATTTTCAACAAATTTATATATAATTTTTGATGATCACATAGAGAAAACAATTTAGATTTCATTTTTAAAAATAAGGTTTATTTATAATAAACTATCTTTAATAATTCTATATTTTTATTCTAGGGAATGCACAACTGTAGACAAAGCTAGCTTTAACATTTATTGAAAAGGTGTACTCTTTATATGAATGCAAAATGGTTAAGTCTTTCTTTACTATAAAGAATTCTCACTGCATTTGAACTAAGAATCTGGAGCACTTGCAGAGAGGAGTTTGGGATGACCAGCCAGAATCAGTCAGGAGGTTTTCTCTCTTCTCAATTAGGTAACTGAAATAGGCACTCTAGCTCTAAATATCATAAGCAAAATCTAAATCTTAGAAAAATAAACAGAGGGAATAAAACAAACTGCTTCAAATACATGCCTGAGGTGAGAAAGGGCTTGTACTTTCATATTGTGGCAGCTTCCAGATGAAATCATCAGTTTTTAATCTTCAGGTTCATATCTGGAAAGAGATATATATGTATTTAATTAAGAGCATAATGTCAACTGTTGTAACAAATAAGTTTACCTGAAACACTTCCAGTGACTAAGCCAGTAATGTTGCATCCTTCATCTAAAATCACCGCTGTGGTACAAGTCAGATTCTTTCAAGGCTTGATGGGGGTGAGTAGGATGATTCCTTCTGCAGCTGGAGAATGGACCAGATAACCACTGATATACCATCAGGCTCCAAGTCTCTACTATATGTGGCATCTACACCCGTGTCAGCTTAGCAGACTGTTATCTAATCGAAGGCCTGATGGACACAAACAGCTGATGTGGCTTTGTGAGTACAAGGTTAACCAACCCCCTTCTCTAACGAGAACTTTGATCTGGGATTCACTTCTCAGCTCTGGTACCCTGGAACTCTGATAAAGGTAAAATGTCAGCTGAGTTTCCAGGTAGAACCACTGATGGCAGAAATGACCCTGATTAGAAGACTCCATCTGGACCATAAGAACTGTGGCCAACTATACATCCATGGCAGAAACCAGGGCTTAGGCTTCCCCATGTGCAGTGAGTTCTTGGACACATCCCTGCCGGAGCATCACAGAACTGTACCGGAGACACCGCTCCCACGTGGGGCATGGACTTCTAAGGCACGCTGGCTCTGGCACCCACAAGCGGATCTCATTTTGTAGCACCTGAACTGTCATGTGGGGCTTCTCTGGTGACTCAGATGGTGAAGCATCCACCTGCCAACGCAGGAGGTGCCAGAGACTCAGGTTTGATCCCTGGGTTGGGAAGATCCCCTGAAGAAAGAAAGAGCAACCCACTCCAGTGTTCTTGCCTGGAAAATTCCAGGGGCAGAGGAGCCTGGCAGGCTACAGTCCACAGGGTCACAAAGAGTCAGACACAACTGAGCAATTAAACAACAAAAGTGTCACGCGGGAGCACAGTGTGAGCAGACCCTGGGCTGCAGCAGGGACACCGCGAAACAGAAACGCCTGGCGCGGCCCCGTGCACTTGCTGAGGTGTCTGTCCAACATCCTGCCGAGAGAACCCCCTAACCCTGACCCTAACCCTGACCAAAAGCAGCCCAGTGTGGCCCTGAGTGCTGAACCTGAGAGGAAACCCCAGGGGGAGTGACGAGTGGGGCCTGGCCAGAGCCCCTCTGTCTTCCCCAAACACAGGCTGCCGGACTGAGTGACAAAGCACGTCCCCACTGGCCTGACCTCTCCGGACATGAGATTAGACTTAATGAAGCACAGACATCAACCAGCAGGGGGACAACCCAAGGGGCGGGGTCAGCACAGCTTACTTCGCCAGTCTTTTCCTCAGGTCTTTGATTTGGTCATTCTTCTTGGTAAGAATCTCCTTCATGTTTCGATAAGCTGCTGTTTGTTGGAATTTCTTCTCTAATTCCTACAAAGGGAAAAATTTCAGTCCATTAACAAGAAATATTTAGGAAAGAAAGAACACATCTGATGAAAATATACATTTCTGCCCTCATTTACTAATACTCTGCTTATTTTATTTTCTAATTTATTTCTAATGTATTTGTATAAAATTAAGACTATTCAAACTTTAAAAATACATTCTTTCAAGTGAGAAGCCAATAAAATGGTAACATTTCCCAAGTACAATATTAACAAATAACTCAACATACTATGCCCCAGATGTGGGAAATCTATTTGAAACAGTAAATTGATTTTCAGATAAAACAGACAAGCTCTTCTTTCTAAATCCCAAAGTAGTGCCAGTATTTTAAGAAGAGGATTTTAACTTTAATTACAGTTTGGCTTGTATATTCTTAAGAGTCTAATCCCTAACATGAAAAGAATAGTTCTCTGCATACTGCTTGTAAATTAAGAAACAAGGACAGACCCCTTCAGAAAAACACCACCCACTCCTCTGCCAGACTATAAACGGCATGATCAGGAAAAGCAACATGGGGGTGCAGGGTGGTGGGTGTAGGCATACAACAGGAAGGAGTACAGGCTTTTTACTACTACAGATATTCAAGTGTCAAAGTACCATCTTTTTACCAAAAGTGGTAAATCTTTTAGAACACAAAGTGCCTAGTATCTTGAGAAAAAATAAAGAGAATCTGCAGCTGTTCACATTTTCCTTAGTTACACTGCACTCATCACTTAAAGGGATGTGGACAGACAAACCTGACCTTTTCAGCCATGCTCAGCTGCTCCTGCACCCTGAGTAGGTCATGCTTGGCCGTCGCTAGATTCTCCTCCAGGGATTTCTGGTTTTCTGTCTGGTCATTAAGTGTCTTCTGAAACTCACTCTTTAAAGCAGCAACTGTGTTTCCCAAGTCACTCAAGTCTTGGGCGTTTATAAAATCCTATGAAAAATACGCACATCCACATAATTTCAGGCTGACATCCTAAACAGTTAACAGCTTTAGATCCAACACCTCATCGATGGAAAGAGAGGAGGCCGTGTGTTGCAGGCACACGCCAGCCTCCCTCGCCGCTGCAGTCCTGAGGGTCACTCGGTACCCAGTGCATGGTGTCCTGCACACATACACAGCCACTCGGAGGTCACTGATTTCCAAGTATGTCAAATACGATTTATAAGCTGTTGGGATTCCAAAAGAAGAACAAGAGACGTGAGATCCTAAATTGGACAAGATTGTGTTTCCCACAGTTGGGGTGGCAAGCAGGTTTCATTACTGAAAAGTCAAGGTAAAAGACATCCTGGTGAGGGGCTTCCCTGCTGGCTCAGTGGTTGAGAATCCGCCTGCTGATGCAAGAGACAGAGCTTTGATCCATGACCTAGAAGATCCCACATGTAGCCGAGCAACTAAGTCCGTACACTACAATTCTAGAGCCCGGGAGCTGCAACTACTGCGCCCACATGGCCTAGAGCCCAAGCTCCACAAGAGAAGCCACTGCAATGAGAAGCCCAAGCACCACAAACAAGAGAAGCCCTGACTCGCCGCAATTAGAGAAAAGCCCGCGCCTCAGTGAAGACAAAGCAGTCAAAAAAATCCTGGTGAAGAATTTAAATGATACAGACGGAAACACAGTAAAATTAATACAATTTATATAAAAAATGTAACAGACATGTTTCACAGTATTATGAGAGCCTAATTAATGCTTATTGAGTACATGGCTTGCTACATTTATAAGACAAAGGTTTTTATCTTAATTTGATATAAACATATTCGTACACTTTGTGTAATATAAGCAGCTGGATCTTCTCTCTACTTAGATCATGTTTTTTACCAGATACAGTTTTTTATGTAAAGAAGAGCAATATTAATAAGACAGGAAAATGGTCTATAATTGCTAACTATGAAGATGAAGCACTACTATCAACAGAAGAAAAATTCCTTATTTTTGAAACCTGGTCTTGAAAAAGATTTTATTTCCCTGTATCTCTGTATGCATTTTCCTTTTGCCAAATCGTAAAAAAGTAAAATTGGAGCAAAGTCTTCAATGGCTTGTAAAACAAATTTATCATCCAAAAATGCAACTGTTTTACTTTTGAGAAATTACACAACTGTTCCAGAGTATTCAGCTGTTTTATAAATTTATGGTCCTTGGTATATAATGATTGAAAATCATATATATTTCCTTTCATTTTAGCCATGTAAGAAGTGTCCTTTTATTTTAATAAAGTATCTACAGATGAAATAATGTAATGTCTGAAATCTGTCTCAAAAAACCATGGGGGAGAAGAGAAGAAAGTGGAGGCTAACATGAAACAGGCTGGCCATGCCTTGGTGACTGAGTGGTACAGCTGAGTGATGAGTACCTGGGTTACATTACACTAGTCTCTCTATTCTTACACGTTTGACATTCTCCACAGAAAAAGGGCAACCAATGTCTAATGAAGCAAGTTTGGGGATTGTTTAGTAGACATTTACAATGGCACTAAACCCACGAGGAAAGTCAGTGTTGCAATGAAGATTCAGTCAAACAGCCCTGCTGACGGGGTCCTACTACAGCATCTCATCTCGATGCAAAGGCCACACCAGGCAGAATGGTGCCCACGATGACTTCCAGGGTGGAGCTGGGCTCGGTCACTCCACTCAGACAAACCTGGAGAACTTTAACACTGAATTTCACTATTTTACACAAGCCCTGCTAGATACAGATGGATCTGAAGATGCACAACTAATAAATTCATTTTATCATACTCCTGAAGGGAAATTTAAGTAAAAATAAGTTCTGTATAATAAAACCCAAATTCAAATCCCTGGTGGTGCAGTGGTAAAGAACCCGTCTGTCAATGCAGGAGACCCGGGGTTCGATCCCTGGATCGGGAAGATCCCCTGGAGGAGGAAATGGCAACCCACTCCAGTATTCTTGCCTGGGAAATCCCATGGACAGAGGAGCCTGGCGGGCTACAGTCCAAGGGCTTGCTAAGCCTCGGACAGGACTTAGCAACTAAACCACAAAAACAAATCCAATTAACTAAGAACTCTTCCATTCTTCTCTCTTTCCCATTGGAATTGCAATGGGAAACTGAAAGGGAAAAGAACTTAAAAAAAAAAAAATTAAGCAAATCTTAGACGCCCATGGGCTCTGGGACACGTGAAGCATGTGAGCCATGGATGTGCCCCACTGCCCTCAGCAGGCGCTCACGTGGCCTTTCCTGGACAAGCCCGTCTCGATGCAGGACAACAGCGGCGGCCCCCGCCTCAGGGAGTGGCCGGTGGTGGGGCACAATAGCAACTAAGACCTCATGTGAGTCTGTAACTCGGTTCTCGCTGGAAAATGAGGAAGCTGAGAGTGACTTCACCTTCTGGCTCGCCTGCTCGCGCTGGAGATCCCGCAGTGCTCCCTCCAGCTTTGACTTCTCAGCCAATGCACCTGTCGCCTAAAATCAAGAGCGAACAGGACGCACTCAGTGTTTAGTCTCTAAGTGATGCTTTCAATACTTTGTTTCAAGTATTCCTCAGTTACCTGTGATTCAATGGTCTTCAGTCTTGACTTCAATCTCTCATTCTCTTCTTGAAGTCTTACAATTTCCTTTGTGAGTAAATTCAAGTTTTACTATGTTAGCCAGAGTACTTTTCATCCTTGAAATTACTTGTTTCACTCATACTTTTAATTTTTAAATTACACAGAAACTCCAGAGTCTGCATGCCCTGGCTACTGGTAATATCCCAGTTTCACCCAGCCCACCAGCCTCAACATCTATGAGTCATCTCTGGCTCTAAGACTTCTAGTTCCTTCCTTCACAGTCTCTCAGACTTTTTTCAGCCCTCTATTCTCAGCCTTTTCCCAAAGTCCCCTCCTCTGCCATCTCTCACCTAGCTGATCCTGAAACTCTTGGTCTGTTCTTGGCCTACACAGCATGGCACTTGCCATTTATCCTCAAAACACAATCACCACCAATCCATACCCTGTGTCTAGCCCCTAAACGGTGTCTATGAGTGGAGGCCCGAGGCCCTCGCTTGTTAGCAGCCCCACTACGAGCGTCACCTGTCTGTGCAGTCTCATCATGCCCCAGCACACATCGCTGCCCAGCAGAGAGTCTGCACTCTGCTCCAAGGCATGCCAGCCTCTGCTCTGCCTCGGACTGCTGCCCACTCTGCCCCCTCCTGGCCCTTCTCTCCTGACAATTCACTGTGTCTTCGCCTTCCAGCCCAGCCTGGGCACCACCGTACCCAAGAGCCGGTCCTCCGCCACTCTCATCCACACGGCACTGTGTCTTCTCTGCCGCCCTGTGGCACAGGGGTTAGCAGTCTCCTCCTCCATTTCTAGAACGTTAGTTACCCCTTCCCAATGAGACCAGAAGGTCTTGAGGGCAAAAGGCCAGGTATTACTTTTCACTGTATGTAACAACATCTAGCATAATGTTGAAAACACAAGAGTCATGAAAAATAGCTGTATATTGCTAATTATTTTCTATAAACCTCTTACTAAGTACCATTAAGGACAACTACTTTTGACAGACTAATTACCCTCAGTGGACAGAAGCCAGACCTTCCACCCCAGTCTCCACCTAGAGCTGTGCAGGCAGCCAGCATACATCCTTAGAGTTCTCATTTCTCAAAGTGATGACAACATTACCTTGTTCAGGAGTTCTGCTGCTCCACCTTCATGAAGTGGAGCAAGTTTTGGCTTCATGCTGTCTATGATGGACTGAAATGAAACAAAAAAACCAAACTGAAATCACCACCAAATAAAGTACCTGTAATTACAGAACCTTTGCACTTTCTAGGTGGAAGACACTGCGCAAACCTATCAATGGGATGTCAGCCAGACATTCATTGGTTTGCTTCTCTACTACGGACCAGTGCTTAGGACAGAGCCTGGCCCACAGCGCCCAACCAAAGTTAGACAAAAATGAAACCCATCCTCCTTGTGTCTTAAACAAACAAAACAAACTGGCAGAAGAGAAAGGTGGGAAGGACGGTAGTCAAAGCCAGAGCAGATAAAGATCCTAGTACCTTGGGACTGAGGTTTTATACTGTGGGAGCTGGAAGCTATATTTCTGCACGAACTGCCCAAAATTGCAATAATGATGAGGATTTAGGTAAACTACACTATTGATGAGCAACTTGATGCAGCTTGATACATACATTCTACAATACGTATTAAAGCAAAAGAATTCATGCCCTCTGAACCAGAAATTTCTTAGCTAGAGCTAAGTTCCCAAGGAACAATGAGAAAACTGTTTTGTATGTGTATGTTCATGGATTCATCTCGGTGGTGTTTTACTACGCAACGCCAGAGTATTCGTGGTGCATGCACACAATGGAAGATAAGAAGACTGCAGATAATAAGACTGATTAAAGAGAGAAGCTGCAGATAAGAAGACTGAAGAAAGAGAGAAGCAGGTCATGATGAGTACTGTCGTCTCGGTCACACAGCTGGGGAGTGACAGCGCCCGGATGCCTGAGTGAAGGGCTTGCACAACTGGGAGGCAGGGGGACTGAAGGGGCGTTGTGAGTATGTGCATGCATGTGTGTGAGACAGCAGACAAAACAAGTTCTTCATAGTAACTTCCAAAGCTTTTCTTTTGCCTAAAAATCCACAAGGCAACTTCTGAATTCTGGTCTTGAGCTAAATGCTTTTCCTTCAGAGTTCTCACTTCAGCCTCTGAATGTTCTAAGCAATTTGAGGATGTTAAACAGTGGCTATTAAGATATGGACCAAAAATTACCTTTTTATTTGAAGATGTAAATTCCGCTTTTTCAAATTCTGCAACTTGCTCTAATAATTCTCTTGAAGATAAAAGAAAATAAGAAAAAATAATTGTTTAGAATAGATCTGTATCATACACACAAGACAAATAAAAACATTGGTACCAACCTATTACATGCCAGAGACAACAGAGCAAGATGAACAAAACCTCGTCACGTCAAAAATGGTATAGTTACCAAAGGCAGACGAATGAAGTTCCATGCACTAAAATCTGAATTCCCATAGCACCTATTATTTTTTACTTACTGAGTGTACAATATAATTGCCATAAATAAACTACAATGTTAGTATAACATGTCTGAAGTTTATAGTCAACACTGTACTTTTGAAGTGCTAAAGGGAAATTGAAGAAAGTAGGGAAAACCACTAGACCATTCAGGTATGACCTAAATCAAATCTCTTATGATCATACAGTAGAAGTGAGAAATAGATTTAAGGGACTAGATCTGATAGAGTGCCTGATGAACTATGGACAGAGGTTCATGACATTGTACAGGAGACAGGGATCAAGAGCTTCCCCAAGAAAAAGAAATGCAAAAAAGCAAAATGGCTGTCTGAGGAGGCCTTACAAATAGCTGTGAAAAGAAAAGAAGCAAAAAGCAAAGGAGAAAAGCAAAGATATACCCATTTGAATACAGAGTTCCAAAGAATAGCAAGGAGAGATAAGAAAGCCTTCCTCAGTGATCAGTGCAAAGAAAACAGAGGAAAACAATAGAATGGGAAAGACTACAGATCTCTTCAAGAAAATTAGAGATACCAAGGGAACATTTCATGCAAAGATGGGCTCAATAAAGGACAGAAATGGTAGGGATCTAACAAAAGCAGAAGATATTAAGAAGAGGTGGCAAGAATACACAGAAGAACCATACAAAAAAGATCTTCACGACCCAGATAATCACAATGGTGTGATTACTCACCTAGAGCCAGACATCCTGGAATGTGAAGTCAAGTGGGCCTTAGGAAGCATCACTATGAATAAAGCTAGTGGAGGTGATGGAATTCCAGTTGAGCTATTTCAAATCCTAAAAGATGATGCTGTGAAAGTGCTGCACTCAATATGCCAGCAAATTTGGATAACTCAGCAGTGGCCACAGGACTGGAGATCAGTTTTCATTTCCATCCCAAAGAAAGGCAGTGCCAAAGAATGCTCAAACTACCACACAATTGCACTCATCTCACACGCTAGTAAAGTAATGCTTAAAATTCTCCAAGCCAGGCTTCAGTAATACATGAACTGTGAACTTCCAGATGTTAAAGCTGGATTTAGAAAAGGCAGAGGAACGAGAGATAAAATTGCCAACATCCGTTGGATTATCAAAAAACCAAGAGAGTTCCAGAAAAACATCTATTTCTGCTTCATTGACTATGCCAAAGCCTTTGACTGTGTGGATCACAACTATGGGAAATTCTGAAAGAGATGGGAATACCAGACCACCTGACCTGCCTCTTGAGAAATCTGTATGCAGGTCAGGAAGCAACAGTTAGAACTGGACATGGAACAACAGACTGGTTCAAGATAGGGAAAGGAGTACACCAAGGCTCTATATTGTCACCCTGCTTATTGAACTTAAATGCAGAGTACATCATGAGAAATGCTAGGCTGGATGAAGCACAAGCTGGAATCAAGACTGCCAGGAGAAATATCAATAACCTCAGATATGCAGATGACACCCCCCTTATGGCAGAGAGTGAAGAAGTAGTAAAGAACCTCTTGATGAAAATGAAAGAGGAGAGTGAAAAAGCTGGCTTAAAATTCAACATTCAAAAAACGAAGATCATGGCATCTGGTCCCATCACTTCATGGCAAATAGATGGGGAAACAGCGGAAACAGTGGCTGACTTCATTTTTGGGCTCCAAAATCACTGCAGGTGGTGACTGCAGCCATGAAGTTAAAAGACGCTTCCTCCTTGGAAGGAAAGTTATGACTAACCTAGACAGCATATTAAAAAGCAGAGACATTACTTTGCCAACAAAGGTCCATCTTGTCAAAGCTATGGTTTTTCCAGTAGTCATGTATGGATGTGAGAGTTGGACTATTAAGAAAGCTGAGCGCCAAAGTACTGATGCTTTTGAACTGTGGTATTGGAGAAGACTCCCCTGGCCTGCAAGGAGATCCAACCAGTCCATCCTAAAGAAGATCAGTCCTTGGTGTTCATTGGAAGGATTGATGTTGAAGCTGAAACTCTAATACTTTGGCCACCTGATGCGAAGAGCTGACTCATTTGAAAAGACCCTGATGCTGGGAAAGACTGAAGGCAGGAGGAGAAGGGGACAACAGAGGATGAGATGGTTGGATGGCATCACTGACTCAATGGAGATGAGTTTGAGCAGACTCCGGGAGTTGGTGATGGACAGGGAGGCCTGGCGTGCTGTGGTCCATAGGGTTGCAAAGAGTCGTACATGACTGAGCGACTGAACTGAACTCAAAGGGAAACTGTTCTAATATAATATACATTGTTATCTGGTAGAGGTTCAAGGAACACTGGTTTTAATAGAATAGCCTGGGAAAAATGGAATTAATTCATATCTACTGAGTATGGTAAATTCTCAAAGAAGACAGATGGTTTCCACCTGAACATTTCCTCTTATTTGCAAAAGTAGGTGGATGCTGACTATACACAAGCTTTTATAGTGCATGGTGGTAACTACTGTTTTAAGCTTCTTAACAGGTCAGTTTCTCAAAGTTTTGTCATCGATTACCTACTGACAGTTGGTGAAGCTAGATGGTTTCCTCCCCTACCTGAGGCCACAGCTAGTGACGCTCAGCACAGACCGTGAGCCGAGCTGCATCTGTGCTTAGAAAACAGCCCCCGGGCTCATGTCAGCCTTTCCAGATGCCTGGCATGATTTTTCGCAGAGTATCAATTTCACTGATTTTACCTATTTTTAAAATATAAGGGAGCTTTTTTATGTTGTTCAGATTACAAAACTTTCTAAGAAAACTTTCCAAGAAAACTTTCCCTATTTTAAACATTGGTATATAATTTTAATGCAATTATTTTAGAAGTAAACTTCTCATACTACTAAGTGTGATTGGATGCTAGTTGAATTAATTTTTCAAATCTGTTTCATAACCTCTACTTCTTAGTTGACCTCTCTCTAAAAACTTACTACAATACTGATCAGGCTAACCAAAGCTACTAAGAGGAATAATTACTAATCACCTTCAGAGCAATCTCACAGACCTCAGAGGCCTTCACCACGCCTAGAACAGTGGAAGCAGGGTGCTCTGAGGAGGACTCTGAGGGGCACCTAGGAGATGACTCACTAACTGGGTGCTTTGCTGTCATCCTACCCAAATCTTCTCACACACTACGCTCAAGAAAAACAACAGCAGAGACAGTCACGAGCTTTCAAGTTCATGCTTGGGCCTCTATGGTCACAACTGTGGAAAAAGATATTACTACCTGTTTTCAAGTTCAGAGATATCTGTCTGCAGCTTGAGGTACCACTTCTCGGCCTGTGAGAAAAGCTGCCGCAGAAGCAGCACGTTGGTGTAGGCCGTGTTGATGAGCTCAGACTCCACTTCGCTGTGGACCACAGACTGCAACCCATTCAGCACCTCAGAGACTTCATCGACGGTGAAGGTCTCCTCCACAAGCCTGAAAAACAACCACGGTCCAAAACCTCTGTGTAAACAACAAAAACCATTTACAATGAAAAACAAAACTAAGAAGCCCCCAACGTGTGTGTCATCGAAGGGGTGAAAAGGTTACAGTGAAAGTCTCTCTGGGAACTAGCTTCTTTATTCGTAAAACAGTTTGAAAATAGTTTAGATTCAATTAGTTTTTGATGTCTGGTTAAATGATTAAACTGTGGCTCGCTCTTCAAATGTGCACATCCTTTCATACAAGTTATGTGCTCAGAAACAAGTCCCAAACTATCTAATTCTTCTTTAGCTTTTCAGTGAAAATTAGCTTTATCACATTTAATTATTTCATAAGTCACCTGAGAGGTGTAATTCCTTTCTTTATATTAGTTGTCTAGCATTTCAAAGACCTTATAAGCTATTCACAAGTTAGTAAATGCCTATAAGAAAATTAGTGATAATTATGTATTCCTTTTCTTAGCATCATGAGACCTGAAAGAAAAAAAAAACCCTGAACTTAATTAAAGCTCCATAAAAATGAACATCATCAAAAGTATTAAAACCCCACTCTTTCACAGAGAATGTTTGGGTTGGAAGGGAACCCCAGAGGCATTTGCTTCAATCCTGTCACTTCGCAGATGGAACACTGGCTCAGGAGGTGGAGGTGATGTGCCCAGTGTCCCACTGGGTGTGACTCAACCCCACAGTCACTTCCAGTAATCTCGGAAACATGCCCAACAACTGAACGCTTGAGAAAGCATCCATGCAGGCCTCCTACTGTCAGTGACAGGCTTCCAGTAGCAGTCCTCCTCACTCCCTACCTCCATCCCCAAGGTCCTTTATTCTCAGACACTCAGTGGGTGAAGAGCTACAGCCCTGATGCTGGTCATCCTCTCCCTTACTCCAAAAGGAATAAGGACACGTTGTGTCCACAAGGACACAATGCAGGGAGCCACACCAAACTTCTCTCACAGTTATACTCAAGTTAATATTATTTGATCTACCAGGCTTTAATGTTTTGTTTACCAAACAGAATTCAACAACTCTTAAGAACCCAGAAGTTTAAGTCCCTATTAAAAAAATCAACAATCTTCCTGTATTCTTTAATAGAACAAACTAAATCTGTTTAAAAAATATTTTTTGTGTTTTTTTTTTGAGCAACCCAAGGAATTTAACCACTCTTAAAAACCCAGAAGTTATTTCAGATTCAAGTCCCTATTAAATATATTAACAATCTTTCTATATTCTTTAATAGACCAAACTAAATCTGCTTAAAAATATGTTGTTTTTTGAGCAACCCAAGTTCATTACTACAAACAGCAATTAAGGTACTCCAAACTCCAATGTGTAAAGTAAATAATGAAGTACCTTCTTTGGCTATCTCACATTCTCACCAATCAGACTGCTGCTTTTATCTGCTGTGAATCAGGAAGTCAGATTATCAGACTAGATTAATAAATTGAACAGATAAGTCTACAGCTGATGGTCTCTGCTACTGAGTGACGTTAGTTTATCACAGTCGCAGGTCACTTGGAGACCTTTTTTATTTATATCCTCACATTCAGGTGCTTGACCCCCAAGCACCCTGAGGTCTCTATTATTCAGTCATTTTGGCTGCTTCCCATTATCCTCTATCACTACATTTTCTATGGATTTTTATTATCTCCCATTACTGGTCCAACCAAACAAATTATCACCTCTTGCGACAAGTCAGCTAATAATTTTGATACTAGTTAGCAAGCTTTTCATGGTTTCCTGCTGTTTTCTCCTCTTCTATTTTAATATAAAACTGTATAGGTGTTTTCTTGCTAAATGCCATGTCTTATGGCTCTACTCTTTTAATTCATAATTCAAGTAATTAAAGTTCTGGAATCTCTACTACAGCAAGCCAATTATTAACCCAGCAGCACTTAACAATTTCCTGACTGCCCTTCTGAAACTCTGCAATCCCTTAACTATCCTATGTGCATGTTTAGTATCAGATTGCCCCCACCACAATCTGATTTCTTCCATTTCACACATCCGTTTACGTGCAGCTGCTCGCAATGGATAACTGATCGTTTCTGAGCAGTGGTCTGTACGGCGTCTGCTACAGCTGCCCCACTGGCCACAGAAAGGACGACTGTCACTTCCCACTGGGTCTCCTCAGCATTCTCTGATACCTGCTCTCCTTGAGGTCCTGGAAGCAGGAATCCACAGTTTTGAGTCTCAAGCCTCTTTTTGAGCGAGCAAAACGCATATAATTAATAACTTCATTTTGATGGTGCTCATTTAGACCCAACTCTGCCTGAAAGAGAGAAGTAATTTATTAGTCTTGAAAATATAATAAAGGAACCAGCAATGAAAACGTACAGGTTCTTCTGTGGTGGAGACTGCTAAATGTCTACTAAATGCTGCTCTTTCCATCTTTCCAGACGCATGGCTGTTGTTTAGTCGTTAAGTCATGTCCAACTCTTTTGTGACCGCTGGACTGTAGCCCACCAGACTCCTCTGTCCATGGGATTTCCCAGGCAAGGATACTGGAGTGGGTTACCATTTCCTTCTCCAGAGGATCTTCCTGACCCAGGGATCAAACCCACATCTCCTGCATTGGCTGCCCAACTAGAAAACACTCTCCAGCACTCTTGAAGTCAGGCGTGATCACGTGACTACTTCTCAGCAACAGATGTGAACAGAGGAATGAAAGCTATTTCTAAAGCCTGGGCCTTAAGACACGGGGCACAAGTCTGCCACACCCTATTTCTCTGAAACCTGGAGGTGAGACTCTGCTGAACCATGCAGACAGTACGCTGGCCTCAGGGCCGGGGGAGCAAGATGAAAGGGAACTGTACCCCGAATAACTTCATGGAGCAGCACAGACCCACATACCTGAGATGAGCAGTGAGAAGGCTGTTAAGTGTGAGAGAGATAAACTTCTGTATTCTTTAAGGCACATTTTATAAAAAAAAAAAAACAACAAATCTCTATTAGAGCAACTTAACCTTATTCCATCTCACACAGTCTTAAAAAATATATTTGGTTTTGAAGCAGCCATCAATTGCTCTTGATTTTCAACCAGATAAGAGCTTGACAACTATAAGCTAGAGATTGATGAAGTTCTTTTTCATGTTATAGCTACACTGAAAATTACAGAAGAAAATTATAAAATTGAACATCTAGTGCAGGGGACTAAATAAGTTAGAATTATCTTTAAGAATAATTTGAAGTGTCACAGCCTTCTTATGGGAGACAGAGGTATATTTTGCAGTCCTCTTTTCCAGGCTTATCTCCTTCTCTCAGCACACAGGGCTGCCTCCAACATTGTGGAGGACACCACGAAGGTCACTGGGCGTGATCTCCTTCACTGTCTAAGCCCCTCACCGTGGCTTTGTTGCAGCTACATACATCGTCACCTGTAGATGTAGAACATAAGACTACAAGGGCCGTGACCTTGTCCCTCTGGTTGCCTGAGTAGCCCCAGGACTCCTCATAGTGCCTGGCACACAGTGGGCATGTGGCTGACAAATGAACTGAAAGAGTTCCTTCTTGTGAAGGTCACTCATGGCTTTAATCTGTTCGCTTTCAAACTCCTGGGGGACTTCAACCAATCACTTCTCCTCTCAACACTACAGAGGTTTCTTCTTCCCTTCAGACCATAGAGGAGGCTGCACACAAACCTCATTCGTGTGAAACCAGAACAAAACCATAGGTCCCCTCCAGCTACCACTGCATTTCTCTAGCTCTCTTCTGCTCTTGTACCTCCACACTCTATATGCTGCTCCAACCGCCTTTGCAAAGCTCCCCAGCAACTTAATAACAAGTCCAGCTACTGTGGCTGATGCTTTGCTGTCTGCTGACCTGCTCCATTCTCTGCCTGCTAACCCCACCTTCCCCTCTTGATCTCTGGCAGCCTTCTCCTCTTGAGCTTGCCTCTTAAGCAGCTGCACCTCCCAGGACGCTGCCCTTAGACCTTACTCTTGTCACTCTACATCCTCTCCGGGATGACATCATCTCTTTCAAGGTGTCACCTACAAGCATCTCTCAAGTATCACAGGCTGGCCTACAAACCAGCACCCCCAATCACATGAACGGCTCCATCAAGTCTTTCTCTCCCCCATGTTATTTTTAATACTCCTGTTAAAGTTCAGTGAGTTAAGAACTACCCAGGACACCATGACGCTCTCCAGTGGCTACCTATCCGGTAGACTGCTGAGCGACTTCACTGTCACTTTTCACCCTCACGCACTGGAGAAGGAATGGCAACCCACTCCAGTGTTCTTGCCTGGAGAATCCCCGGGACGGGGGAGCCTGGCGGGCTACCGCCTCCGGGGCCGCACAGAGTCGGACACAAGTGACACGACATAGCAGCAGCAGCAGCAGACTGCTTCAAAACAACCAGGTGAGGTATTTTGGCCAATGTAAACCAACACATTTGCGGTATGTACTTACATTTCCTGACTCTACCTTATTTGATTAAACTGGTAATTAACTTTTTGCCTTAGGGATAGACAATGTGAACAGAAATAAGGAAGAAGTTTCTTATGTTTTAGTTTACATGGATTGTTAGCCAACTCCTCAAACTATTTCAAATGTCAATGTCAAATTTCTAATTTCTAATGTTAAACATTAGAAACAGTAACGATGACAACATCTAAAAGTCATTCAGAAGTTACAAAGTGCCAGGCATGATCTCATTTAGTCCTCAATACAACCCTATGAAAAAGTAAATATAAACCTACTTTACAGATAGAAAACAGGTACAAAGAAATTTTTTTTTTTTATGCTATTGAACTGGCAAGTGGGAGAGCAGAGACTTGAACCAGGAAATCTAACTCTGAAGTCTACACTGCTTTTCAAATCCTTTTTGGAAAAATGGCAGAATTTAAGTAAATAAAGAACACAGATATGTTACAGTTGCAAGTCAACCTGAGTTGTGACTCACAAGAAGACACATCTCCACCAAGCATTTGAAATAAACCTCAATACCTACATTAGAAACGATGTTATCTCTATACTCAGAAAAGTGTCAGCAAGAATATCCTACAATTGGAAATCTCAAAACGATGCCACAACTTGCTAAAAAAAAAAATCTCATAGTTTCAATTATTTTTGCTTACAGTATTAAATCTATACTCATAAGCCTTCCACTCCCCAAACCCTTTCTCTAACCCCATTTCCCAAGATTCTACTGTTAAGAACACTCCTATTCAGTCAAATTAGTCTGCTTACCAGCCTTGAACATCCTATACTTTCACTCTCATTACCCCAGTCCTTGACTAAAAGCACCTCTCCATTCCTATTCAAGAATCTGAATCTGACCCAGGGTGTGCTGGTGAATGCTTAACGGGCATTGGTGAGGGTGGGGGTACGAAACTGATTTGCAGCCCTTGCAAATTTCCAGTGTAAAAACTCCCAGCATGGCTGGTTTCAAGCTATCAACATGTCACTGCACTGCAGAGGTGAGAAGAAATGCATATAACTGGCTCTCAGAAGTATACGCATGCTCCAGAAAACCACCAAATTCCTACACATCCTTCAAGAGCAAACCTTTTTTACCTACTCTGTGAAGCCTCCCAACATGCCCTCATTAACTCTAGTTATGCCTTCCTCCAAAAATTAGCACATAAGTGGATGAGATGGTTGGATAGCATCAACGACTCAACCGACATGAATTTGAGCAAACTCTGGGAGATAATAAAGGACAGGTGTGCTGTAGTCCATGGGGTTGAAAAGTCAGACATGACCTAGAGACTGAACAAAAATTATTAGCTGTCTTTTTTTTCCTTAGGTGTTGCTCTTTCAAGTAGACTGTAAGCTCATGACAGCATGAATCATTCCTTATACCATATAGTTTCCTCATATAGTGCCTTGTGCAGAGTAAGTGCCCAATGCGTATCTATTCTCTTCTGTCAAGTTAAGACTATCCCCAGACCAAGAAGAAAAAAGTACTGAAACTGAGAATGAAACTTAGAACAAAAGACAGAAAAGTTCATCTAAAATGGATGGGAGTGAAGAAAGGGAGCGGAAATAAGCAGCTGATTTCAGTAACAGAAATAGCATTAGCCTGGGAAATGGAATGACAGCAGATAAGAATGCGAACAGATGTCAATTTTCTTGTGACATCACCACCATTTTTTCATGATATTTTATGGAAACCAACAAAATGTGTGGGACAGGCTCCAAGAATGGTAGGAGATTGTTTCGTTCACTGTTATACCCTCAGCTGCAAGAGTGCTTGGTATACACCGTGGACTAAAGAGGAATTCTGACTGCTGAAGTATTTCAGTAGCCTATTTCGGGGGTGCCCCCAACTCTGGATTCATCTTTTTTTCCCTCAACACTTCAGTACTGTGTCTTGTTCTAAGGACCGCTGCTGTTTAAGCTGGCATTCTATATCATCTGGAATGACAAACGGGATTATTTTCTAGCATCCAGGAAAAACATGCCTTCTTTTGAACAGACAAAACACAAGGACTGTCACTCAAGTTTTCTCAGGTATAAAATGGGGCCTGGGGATTCAGGTATCACTCTCACGTAAGAAAGTTATATTCAATCACGTTCTTCCTCCTTGGCTCGTTAACACAATTAATGCTACCAAAGGGTGTGTGTGGGGCGGGGGGGGGGTGTGGAATGTGTGTGAGTGTGTGCTCGCGCGCGTATAAACTTGGGAGTTTTTGGAATGGAACGAGAAACCCGCTTTGCGCCTTCTGCTGGCAGACGATTCCCTCCAGCTCTCTTCGCCAGCCACCTGAGGTGTGACTTGGCCACGGAGGAGCGCGGCTGCTAGAAGAGGGCTCCACCAAGGATTATCCCGGTAGGGCTTCGGCCAATGTTAACAGCCTCTCGCACCCTGCGCGGCGTCATCTCCTCAGAGAGGCCCAGGGCTGGACTAAGTTCCGCCGCAGGCCACGCCATCACTCCAACGCCGCGGCTCCGCGGCCCTCCTTGGTGCGCGGTGGCGCCGACAGGCCGGCTACTCACCATTGAGGCGGGGGGCAGTCAGCGGTCTGGAAAAGCGGGAGAGGCCAAGCTCAGCCTCACCAGGCCCGGGGTCGCAGAGAAACACTAGACCGCGCCAGACGCGGAGGCAGGGCGGGTTGTTTAGGAGCGTTGCTAACGGGAACAGACGCACGTGACTAGGGAGTTACACACTTTGATTGGTTCTCAAGATCACGCGACAGGAAGTGCCTCGTGACCGGCCAACCGCCGAATGCGCATTTGCTCCTAGGCGCGGGAAGTCCCGCCTTCCCGCGCCACGCCGACTTCTGGAGCTGCCGCCGTTGCCAACGGCAACGGGAAAGGCGCGGCTGCCTGGCACCCAATCACAACCAAGAGCCGCGGGGCATCCTAGCCAGCCTTGCTGCTCAGTCCTTGCCCAGCACTTCCTGTGGCCTGGCGGCCCCGACGAATGGCCGTTCCCTCGACTGCTGACTCCTGACCTTCCAACGGTCTCGTGGTGCGTCCCAGACTTAATCCTGTCCTCTCCAAGATTTCTTACTTGGCTGAAATAGTCTACCAGCACCAGAGCTGCCATATTCCTGGACAGGAGCTTTGAACAACCCGCTCCCCACTGCTATTTTTTCTTCTTACATTCTTGGTAAAAAAAATCTCTAATATAGCACTTTTCCCCTTAAAAAACAAACAAACAACAGCAACAAAACCGCAAACGGAAACTGGTGAAAGAGCAGTGCACTTCAAACTGTTATGGCTAGAATCATCAGGGAACGTGTTGTACAAATGCTTCACTGGCCTCACCTCCAGAAATCCTGAATCACGAAGTCAACCTTGGGTCTTTGGAATCTGCAATTTTTACCGACCTCCAGGGCTGACTGTGGACCACTCTTTAAGAAGCACTGTCCGAGGGACCTCCCTGGTGGTCCAGTGGCTGGGACTCTGGACTCCCAATCAGGGGACATATGTTCTATCCCTGGTCAGGGAATTAAGATCCCACATGCTGCATGGTGTGGCCAAGAAGACAAAAAAGAACCACTGTTCTAGAAGAGGCAGAGGTCTAGAAAGAGATGGATTATGTCAGTGGGGTGGAGGGAGTGTTGGGCTTGGTGGGGAAAGCCGATGACTGGGCCTAGGCCATTCAGGGGGCATTGCAGAGGCTCAGAAGGCAGAAACACAAGCAGATACAATCACTGAGGAGGCAGCCTGTAAACTAGAAAGTGAGCTCCACATGATAGACACTGAAATGAGAAGGAGCACAGAACCAGAAGCCTTCTGAGAACCTGAGTCACTCAAAGCTGGGGGAGGATGTTTTCCATCATCCCTATTTCAGGGACAGACAAACTAGTGTAGATAATGCTTTGGGGGCTTAGGTTGATTTTGGCTACTACACAGTGCAACTTAATATGGGTCACAGTTGAAAAAAAAAATCACAATTGGAACCTAAAAATCTAGACAGGATTTTAGAGAGCTGGTTACACCTAGTTCATTTATGGATGAAGAGATGGAGAGCCAAGGTCACATGTCCAAGGCTTCAGAGGACTAGGTGGGGGCATCTGAAGCTTGAGTCAGTGATGAAACTAATACAAATATGTTTCTAAAGAGCAAAACCAGAAAGCAGGTGTGAACTATTCTGGTATGGTGCATATTCAATCATATTCTGGTTTCAAGAATTTCATTTTTCTTTTCATTTACACCATATTTGTTTTATTTAATGTAATTTGTGTACAGAGCTTAGTAATTTTCCCAAGAACTGAGCTCAATACTTTTTTAACTTGACACTTTAACTGCCAGAATAAAGTAGTAGCAGATAAATTCTGTAGAATAAAGCTTACTTACAAATGGATGATGTCTTTAGAAAAAGAGGTGGAGCAATGAAAACAATTAGTAGTTAAGTGGTCAATACAGTAAAATGGAAGTAATTTAAATGGATAATTTTAAATTGAGACAAAGTAGGAGCTAGAAGAATACAATACTTTCAGATGAGGAAAGATAGCTCAGAAAAGTAAAGTGTCTTGTCCAGGAATAAGAGCAGCAGAACCAGGTCTGGAATTCAAATCTCTTGACTTCCTGGCAAGGGTTTCCTGACCATTTAGTTCCACCCAAACACAGGTGACAGAGCTTTTTCTTCCAAATTTATCCCCACCCCTCTGTACATAAGGCCCTCACCCTCTGTGTAGGGGATCTTGAGTGTCCCATGACTGCTGAAAAGCAGGGGGTGAAGGGGAAGTTCTCCTGTTTGGATGGGGGCATGGTTAGGAGTCCTTTGCTTGGATGATCCAGGAATGATATGCAGGCAGTTGCCCATGGAAGGATCTCAGTCCACAGGGTCAAGAGGTTGCTCTGTGTGTCACTGGAGCACTGCTGGGCATGCAAGGATGGCCTGGGGCCACTGGCTTGGCTCAGCCGACTTGACTGGCCTCCCAGTAGTATCTGGGCAGAACCTCTGTCTCCCTGCAGGATCTGAAGGCAGGCTCTCATCCCTAGCCTCCCCCCTGCCAACCCCCGCATGATGACTCCCTCTAAGATCACTTAAAGTTCTGCTTTGCTATGCCATTCCTTACATTTCTGTTCAATGAGTGTTTGTCAAATTTGATAATAAGAGTTGCCATTATTTAGTGCCTACACTAGGCTAGACATATTCCATTTCCATAATTAATCCTCAAAATCTTTAGTTTTTTTCTTACTGTAATAGGTACTCACTGAATTCACATAGAGAGAAGGTCACTTTACTAGATGCTGTGGATAAAGAAGGAATTTCATAAACACTTTTAAGAAATTTAAGTAAACAGTTGTTCACCAGTTTGCATTTCTAAGGAAACTTAAGTGTATTTTCCTGCTAGCAAATTCCCATGCTTACTGAGTGCTATTAATGCAGGGGAGTCCAAGCAGTGGGTGGATAATGCAAATATTTCATTGGCAAATACATCTGGGGCTTGGTGGTTTTTTAAGTTGTTTTGCAAATCTGCATCAGCTAGTGATTTTAACTTAAAATTCTACTTTAATCTAAAACCTTCTGTACCAAGGATTTTAACAATATCACTGTTAGGCCATCTATCCAACTGACCTGAGTGTTATTACATAAGTTGTCTAAATAGAGTCAGCAAATACGAACATGTATTTTGGTCTTAAAGTGATGAATCTGGCTCATGAAAAGGCTGAACTCGTGCTGCTTACTAGCTTGTGTTGATACCAGAGCAAATAATTCGAGCTGTGAAGGAAAAGAGCTCCATCCTACTTTAGCTGAGTTTCTCAGCCTCCTTCTATTTTTTTTTAAATCACTGTGACAATTTAAAAAACTGTGTTTGTGTGTGTGCACACATGAGTGTCACTCTGGAAGGATGGGATGGGAGGCATACAACCAAGGCTATTATATACCTTTTAGCAGCATGCATGCTCAGTCACTCAATCATGTCCCACTCTGCAACCCCATGGACTACAAGCCACCAGGCTCTTCTGCCCATGGAATTTTCAAGGCAAGAATACTGGAGCGGGTTGCCATTTCCTCCTCCATGGGATCTTTCTAACCCAGGGATCGAACACGCATCTCTTGCATCTCCTACATTGGCAGACAGATTCTTTCTCACTGAGTCATCTGGGAAGTCCACCTTTTAGCAGAGCTCAATGTAAATAAAGATCAACTCTTGTCTTTTTAGATTGTTACAAAATGAGACGTTTATGAGTTTACAAATGACTAGTCTTAACACCAGGCCAGCAGTTTGGGGGTGTTGACGACCTAGACGAGGCAAAAGGGGAACGGGAAGGTGACAGATCCGCTTGGTCTTGACATAGTGGCTCCTTCGGCCACTATTTACAGCGCCCCCTTTGTGTGCCAGGCTCCATGGCCAAGATAGAATCTCAGGGAAGAAGTGGAGGATTCAGGACGCCCGAGAGGCCCCTACTCTATAAATCTTTGGGTAGGGTTGAGGGGCTAAGGTGACGCTCTACTTAAAAGAGAAAGTAATAAAATCATTTAAAAATATGAATCTTGAAGATTGTATGGGAAAGGAACGTTTGACAAAACACTGAACTCCTCCTGTAGCAGGCAGGAAATGGTAGGGGAGAATCATTTCAGGGGAAGGGATTACCTTGAAGGAGGAGTATGGCTTTGTCCATGTGATACTACCAGGGTCCTCTGTAACTCCCCCCACCCTATCCAATGACAACCGAGAAAGTAGTCAAGACGTGAGAAGGGAGGAATGCAGGATTCAAAGAGTCTTTACGGGAACTATGGCATTTGATTGGGTTTCCCTGGTGGGTCAGTGGTGAAGAATCTGCCTGCCAATGCAGGAGATATGCGTGCCATCCCTGGGTTGGAAAGATCCCCTGGAGAAGGAGATGGCAACCTACTCCAGTATTCTTGCCTGTCCATGGAGTCACAAAAGAGTCAGACATGTCTTAACTACTAACAACAACGGTAACTAATGGGCATGAGGCTATTTTCAGTTCTTCCATTTGCTCGTTCAGTCAATTGGTTTCAAAATGCTCCAGGTGACCACAGAGTATTAGAGGGTGCTGACAAGTTAGATTTGTGAAATAAATATACGTTTTAAAGGAGGTCAGGCAAGGAAGTGGTTCACCATAAAATACTACAACTCCCTTTAAGACTGTGTGGATGATGGTAATGTCTTAGCCCAAATGATAGATTAGTGTCACAGATCTAAATCTCCAAAATTAAAACAACCCAAAGGAAAAAAACACCAAAAACATCAAAAACTGAAGACTACCTAACAAATGTTAGGAATTGGTTAGGAATGCCTCCTTGTGAAGTACAAGAATAATTTACATATGGTGTGGTGGTGGTTTAGTCACTAAGTCCAACTCTTGTGAGCCCCATAGACTGTAACGCATTAGGCTCCTCTGTCCATGGGATTTCCCAGGTAAGAATACTGCAGTGGGTTACTATTTCCTTCTCTGGGTGGATATTCCCGACCCACGGATTGAACCCTGGTCTCCTTCACTGCAGGCAGATTCTTTACCCACTGAGTCAATACGATCATATGCACCAAACCTCATTCCACAGCCTCATGCAC